CCTGGCCTAGGGAGGATTTTAAATCGGGTTTTTAAATCGGGTTTTTTAAGAATAATTTTAACTGCACAACTTTAAATATTGGTTTAATTTGGTTTTATCTGGTGGGGGTTGTAAATATGTCTATGTTTTTAAATATGTTGTGAGCCGCCCTGAGTCCCGTTGGGAGAAGGGCGGGATATAAATCAAAATAAATAAAAAATAAATAAATAAAAAAATAAACTTGTTTGTGCCATGCTGGCCCTTCTGTTGTATAGTACATGGTAGAGTTATTTTGAATGCATTTAAAACATTTCTCGGCAACAGTCAGCGCCAATGCTGATGTATCTTTTAAAGGCCCGTTATCTTGGCTTTCCTCAGACGTGAATTCCCAATTTCTTAACAACGGATTATTTTGTTTCTGATCTCAAATGTTTTTAGATTATTAATAGAACATTTTGGGCATCTTTCAAATGAAAAGCGGTGCAAATAAATTTTTAATAAATAAAAACCTGAAATATCAAAAGAAAAGAAAATGAAAGTGTTATGATGTCATACAAAATAGATAACTTCATCGTTTGGAAAATACTTAGAGATTTCAAAACTGAGAAGAAGAATTAAAAACTTTATTAAAACAATTTCAGAACTGATATTTTTCCTTTCATTCTTTACACTGATTGTATGGCATCTAATCTTAATAACTTGGTAGAATATGAAACTAAAAACATTGCTAAAATAAAGCAATTAACAATAAGTAAGGTTGTGAAATATATTATTTCTATTCCCATCTAAACCTTTTAAAAATGCTCTCAGGAAGCCAGATAATAAATTTTTAATATTATGCATTAATCTATTTATTTTGTACAGAACATTTTGAACCTTCTCTTCTTGTATTGCTTGGTTTCGCTTTGGCTTCTGCTGGGTATTTTCCACAGAAAGTGATAAAGGCTATATTTAATATTGAATTTCTCTCCAAATTGGATGCTGAGCTTCAAAGTAAGTGCTAATTTCTATTTTTTGATAGGTTTCATAAATAACTTGTATTTTTAAGAATGTAGTCTTGGGCCTTACTAAAGTATTCAACTCTTGCGAAAGAAAGATTTTTTAAAAAGACTACTCCAAATAAAGTACAGTACTTTTGTGCATTAACATGATAGTAAAAGATGTTAAATATTAAAAGGGTCTATGGAGATTCTCAGTCATCCAGGTCATGGTTGTCCCAAAGGTGCTTTTTCAGGAGGCAACTGGACTTTCTTGTTTTTCTTTGAAGACGTTTCGCTTCTCATCCAAGAAGTTTCTTCAGCTCTCACTGGATGGTGGGGAATGAAAAGATTTATATTCCTTGCAGGCAGTGGTCATTTGCAATTTTTTAGAGAGTCGTTGAGGCCATTTGGAGGTTTACTTGTGTTCTCAGGGTTACCTGAGTAGTGCAAATGTGTGTGGAGCTTCTTGACTGCAGGATGTTTTCTGCCCTGTGTCCCTTCACTGTTGAAGATTCTCCATAGACATTTAGCTATGCACTTTGTGATGAACACCCTTTGAATGGTGCAGGAGTATGAATGGATTTCCAGAAAACATTGCAGACTACAGGGACCAATCGTGCTTCAGTTTGAGATGCAGACAACAGACTCATCGGCAACAGCCTGCGCCTGTCTTCAACAATGAAGGGACACAGAGCAGAAAACATCATGCAGCCAAGAAGGCCCCACACACATTTGCACCTCCAAATGGCCTCAATGACTCTCTTAAAAGAATGCAAATGACCAGCTGTCTGCAAGGAATTTAAATCCTTCTATTCCCCACAATCCAGTCAGAGCTAAAGCAGCTTCTTGGATGAGAAGCAAAAAATCTTCAAAGAAAAACAAGAAAGTCCAGTTGCCTCATAAAAAAGCACCTTTAGGACAAATATTAGAAGGGTTTTTCCTCCATCAGTAATTTCTACTCCTGTTGTTATTTAAGTCTTTTAAAAAATAGTATGTTATTCTGGGGATATTCTATATTCTCAGGGTCAAAAAATGGCCAAAATAGTTTCTGCATATAGAATTGAGTGGACTTTTATATTGTTTGGACTTTCATTGTCCCCACTGGAGTGTACTTTTTACCTACAGTTTTCCCATATATATTTACAGGGTTTTTTTTTCAAATAAATCTTTTACATGTATAGATTAAACAAATGGGTTGCATCTCAACAATGTTCTTAGTTGAAAAATTTACCTATAACAAAGGAAAAACTTCAAACCACTAGTCATTTTATATATTTGACCTTTAAATTTCCCCCATGTTTCCCCACACGTTTATCCACACGTGGGTAAACAGCTGCTAAATGTTCCATAAATATATTCTGATTTTTTGTTGGTTTATTATTTTTAGTCAAATTACGATAAAATGAAAACGATGTAAATAAATTCACATCGACGGAGGTATCTCCCCGACAGTGGTTCTTAAAAGAAGTCTTCGACTGTACTTCATGTTGTTTTAACATATCTAAGTCATGAAGGACTTAAATTAAAAATCTTTAACCAAAACAAAATGACAGATACCTCTTTCTCAGTCATCCAGGTCACAGTTGTCCCAAAGATGCTTTTTCACGAAGCAACTGGACTTTGTTGTTTTTCTTTGAAGAAATTTCAGTTCTCATCCAAAATGCTTCTCTGATGACATAGACAAACCTCCAAGTGGCCTCACTGACTCTCTAAAACAGGGGTGTCAAACTGCCGGCCCGGATGCGTCATGTGAAATCACGCTCACCCCATTGCCGGCAATTGAAAAAAAGCTGCAATATGTCGCAACACGTCACGTAATGTTGCAAGTTTGACACCCCTGCTCTAAAAGAATGCAAATGACCAGCTATCTGCAAGGAATGCAAATTCTTCCATTCTCCACCATCCAATCAGAACTGAAGAAGCTTCTTGGATGAGAAGTGAAACGTCTTCAAAAAAAACCCCAAGGAAGTCCAGTTGCCTCCTGAAAAAGCATCTTTGGGTTTTGTTTTGCTCTTAGCTGTTTGTTTCTTATTTCTTATTCTTAAAAACGAGGTGCTAGTTGTTAATTTATGAATTCTTCAATGATATCTGTACTTAGTATCACAATGAAGTAATTAATATGACACTAATACATTTTTGTCTAAAAAATTGCCTTCTTTTTTTATTCATGGTTACTGCAATATTATTTTCTAAACATTGCCTTATGCTTATTTCTTCTGGATTTTTTAAAAAACAGTTCTACCATGGAAAACAGCAAGTAAGTCCACCTTCCAGCTGATGGAGCTGAATCGAGCTGTCTGTTTGGAGTGCCCCGAGCTTCAGATTCCATGGTTTCATAAACGCTTCTGTGAACAGCTGAAGAAAAAAAGTGAATATTTAAAAGTTTTTGGCAGTTTAATGGCATTAAATATAAGGCTACAATTCCTTTGAATCGTTTTTTGTCTACAGAACTGGATTTATTACTCCTTGGATATGGCAAAATTAGAAGTTAAAGATCTCCTTTGTCATGTTCGATCTGCTTCCTTTGGAGAACTATGATCTTTTTTAAAAAGGGGCAAAGATGGTGGGAAGCCTCTGATAATACCTAGGCCTTGCCTTTGTGAAATAATAGATTGGGCTTTGTTCTGTCTTCTTTTCATTTCTAACTTGGTGTTTGTTTTCTTTGCTCTCTTTTTTTCCCCCTAGAAACTGATTTGTCCAGTCTGTTGCAACAGCAGATATATATACTACTTGGAGAAATCCTAGGAAGAAGCCATTATGCCAGATGTTCTGTACTCACTTCTTACTACTATAGAATTGGTGGGTTGTTTCAAAAAAAAGAGTATAAGATTTGTATTGTTTTACTTTATACAAGCCTTGAGAGTTTTGTCTAAATGTTTATGATCTTGTATGAACGTGGCACTCTTGATTTTTAAACTATGCATGTTTTTCCCTTAAGAGCAATTCTTTGGCATTTGTTTAACTTTTGCAGCTGCATATCCAAGCTAACCTAAAAGTTCCAGGCAGATGCTATATTCATTCATGCATTCAGGCATGCATTCATTCATTCATTTCCCGACATTATTTTTATAACTCAAGGCGGCAAACACACGGTACCCCTCCCTCCTTCTGCTTTCCCCACAACAGCAACAACCCTGCAAGGTGAATAGGACTGAGGGAGAGTTGATTGGCCCAAGGTCAGTCTAATCCCACCTTTTTGCCTAAGGTGGGATTAGAGCTCACAGACTCCTGACTTCTAGCCTGATACCTTCACCACTGCTCTTTTGCATTGATGCCCCAAAATGCTCTGAAGCACCTCATTGCTTTCAAACGTGAATGTTGCACGGCCCTACTTTATGTTATTCTAGTGATGCCTATTTACAGATATTAGTAGGTGTGACTTCAGCTTCAAATTACTGAGAGTCATTCATGTCTTTCAGATTTTGAATTTATCGTTGATAAAAACAGGAGACCTGCTCCATATATAGACCAACACGTTGCCATGCTTAATTCAGACAACACAGGTGGTGCTGAAGCTGGTCACTCCTATGGAAAAAAAGGGCTACCACCAGGATTGCAAAGGTGATTATGTGTTTTTTTTATGTTATAGTAATGCAGGACGATAAGGGTTTTCACTAGATTTTTCAATTCCAGGCAGTCCTCTGAGCAGAGGATGGCACGTTATATTCACAATTTCACTCAAGTGATAATAAGAACAGGGATCTTGATTAGACAGGTGGCATTTTTTCCCTGTTCACGTATTTATTCAATTTATATAGTTGTCCATCTCACATATGTGACTCTGGGTGCCTCACAGTCAGATAACAAAAAAACCAAACAAATAAAAATAAACTACGCAAATAAAAACCACTAAAATAATGAAAACCATAAAATAATAATCTGCAGGAAAGCGCAATCCATATGTTACTAACAGTATAACCAACTTGTAGGTTCCAGGCACGATGACAAAAACATGAGCTTCCAAAGGAAAAGGTTGTAGGGGCCTGTCTAACCTCAAAGGGTTATTTTATTCCAAAAGGCAGGTGCAGGGCCAGAGAAGGCTTTTCTTCTGGGTCCTATCAGGTGACCTTCCTTTATTGACACGACCTATAATATGCCTTTTCTGTTGGACGTGATGGGAAGGGTAGATGTAACTAGGGAAAGGTAGTTCCTCAAATAACCCAGCCCCATGGCATGTAGGGTCGTTGTACTTTGCACAATGTACTTAGCAGTTCTTTGATTTGAACCCGGAAGCAGACCAGCAACCAGTGAAGCTCACAGAGCAGAGGTATCTGTGTTGATCAAGGAGTACACATACCATTTCTTGAGAGGGCAACCTTATGTATAGCACTTGACAGTAATCCATTCTGATGGTGACTAGGACATGAGCGATAGCCTCCTGATCAAGGAATGGGGAGAACTGGTGCAACCTCTGGTTTGAAGATAGTCTACCACTTTAATGCATAATTCACACAAGCACATATATTATTGTATTTGTCAATAATATAATTTAAATAAAATCAGAATACAATCCAAAGGAAACATATATATGTACTCTAAACTGGACAGATACCCATAAGTTTATCACTCACATAAAATTCATCGCAGAATCAAATCTTACTGAACAATGATGTACTAGTGAGCTTTTATATATGAAATAAAAATAAGCTACTTGCCAATAAAATTACAAAAAATAATATAGGTCTCTTCTGGACAATTGGTGCATAAAGATAATTCTAAAACAACTTTGTGTTCAGGTAACCACCCCAAAATTTCAGGCAAGAAGTAATTTAAGCTTTAGAATTAAAGTATATTATTATTTTAGCATAAACCAATTTGCAATATGTTTGATATAATTAAATTTATGTACAATAAATGCTATGTACAATAATTTTTTTTATTCCCGTGACAAAATTTTTAAGATGAGTGATAATCCTTACTGAAGCCAGCTATAGATAAATGTAATTTTCTTATGTTGCAAAAGATGGCATTATAGTTAAATTATTGGAAACATTAATTCAGAAGTCTTAATCAGAGGCTAATTTTAATGGCAGGCCAGTGTTATAATTAATGCATAATTAATAAATTACAATTATAACTATAGAAAAACATTCAGGGTTTTCATTAAAACAACAGGTTTCATGAGTATATAAAATGATTATAAAATACTTGCAAGCTGTATTTTTGCTTTATATGAAAGTAAATTTGAAATTGCATTTAATTCAGAATTGCTATGGAATTCCTTGATTCAGAAGCTTTCTGCAAAAATTCAAATCACGTCAAAGGATATGTTGCCATGAAAAAGCGGCATTTAGAGATTCTTGGTTATCAAGTTGTTCAGGTATGGTGTCTCTTTGTAAAAGTTGAATAAAATTTCAGAATTTTCGGCATAATATTTCTTACCATAAATATTCACCTTTTGCCCAAAGGCTGCAACCAACTTTAAAGTACTCATGCAATAATACATTTGAGGAAAGTGAAAGGAAAGAAATATTAATAACATTTTAATAATGGATCTTCATTTTAATCATATATTTTTCTTTCAGATCCCTCACTATGAATGGAATTCCATGGAATTGTCATCCACGGAAGCAAAGACTGAATATTTAGAAAAGAAAATATTTGAAAAGCTTTGATATCCTAGTGTGGAGGAAAAAAAAATAACAATTTTTTATATGGACTGTAACATTGAAAATTAATTATCTTCAGCCTTCAATAAACTTATTATTTTTTTAAAATGAAGACTATTTATGTTGCATCTGGAGGTACCCCTATTTGGAATTGCAGAGGGCAAATTGTGCATTGCAGAATTACATTTCTTGCACAAGGTGTGACCGTTTTTGGCCAGCCTGACCTGGCAAATTACCTAAGCCGTAGTTATAGCAATTGACTACTATGCTACACAGCACATGAGCCTATCCTTGAGGAATGTGTAGAAGTTGCTTTTGGTGCCAAATCTAAAAACTAGATGCTATCTAATACCCAATATATTATCCTCATTTTGGAAGACTTGCAATAGTAGATATCTGATGTTGGGGTATTAAATTCCATACATAAAAGTGACACTTTCGTACTTCCTGAGGACAAAACAATATTTGAAGAGGTCCTTACTTTCCGTCGACTTCCCGGTGAGAATTTCTGTAGGGTGATAACCGGTAAGTCCGTTTTCGAAAGAGTACACCGAGGACTCGACCTTTCGACGCGACGATAAATAAGTCACACTTGACTTATTTAAGATAATTATTTATAATGCTAGGTTTACTTTTTATTGTTAAATTGTCTTGTGTATTCAAGTCCAGCCAAGCAGAATTTGATTTGTTTATGTGCTCAGTTTATTAACCATCCTAACAGCCAGAGCAACTTGTAGGTGTACATACAGGAAAGAACAATTCAAAATAGGCTAACTTAGCCAACAGTAAGGAGATGTATGTACATGGACAGAATCACAAGCCATTTTATCCAATATCCTGTTTAGAAGTTTGGGTTTCCTCAAATTCAAGAAATTATGGGGAATCTTGTTCCGAAGGGCAGAGCTAGCCACAGAGAAGGCACACTTTGGGAGTTCAACCAGTTGGCACTACCTCACTGATGGGACCTGGAGCTTATTGCTCCTGGCAATTCCTATTGATGGGCAAAAATAACCAGACAATGGTAGGCCTCTAAGCGAGTCAGTACAGGTAGTCCTCAACTTAACGACCACAATTGAGCCCAAATTTATGTTGCTGAGAAATTTGTTGAGTGAGTTTTGCCCCATGTTACAACTTTTCTTGCCACAGCTGTTAAGTGAATCACTGCAGTTGTTAAGTTAGTAACACGACTGTTAAGTGAACTTGGCTTCCCCATTGACTTTGCTTGTCAGAAGGTCGCAAAAGGTGACCACATGACTCCGGGACACTGCAACCGTCATAAATGTGAGTCAGTTGCCAAGCATCCAAATGTAAACCACATGACCACGGGGATGCTGCAACGGTCATAAGTGTGAAAAATGGTCATAAGTCAATTTTTTCAGTGCCGTTGTAACTTCAAACGGTCACTAAGTGAACTGTTGTAAGTCAAGGACTACCTGTATTCATTTAAATAATAAAACAATGCCTGTTAGTATACCGAATAAGCTGGGCAATAAGCTATATGCTGTGCAGAAAAAACAGATCCACACGTGGCATCTATTGAATACTTGAATTTTGTGTGTTGGTCATCCTGTTTTGAAATGACTTGATCAATCATCTTCCAATGCACATGAGATTAGTTCTGAATGCAGTACTATAAATTGTGTCTTGAGCTGGATTGGCATCCCTTTCTGTTGATAAATCAGAAACCATTTTTTCCAAAATTATAAATTAAGTAATCTTGAATTAAATTAAGAATCATGAAGTCAAGATTTTTCAAGCACCCAGTTCTGCTATAAAATGCTAATCCAACAAAATCTGAAATTTTAAGGTGACAGATTTTATACTGACATTTTAGCACAATTTCAGTAGTGCTTGCTAACAGACAAACCATATTTCCAGTAATAGTTGCAAAAGTCACAGTATGCAAACTTAACAGCCATTCAGATATGTTTGGATTATAGTACCCTTTAACCTGCAACCACTGGGCATGCTGGTTATGGTGGATGGGAAATGAATCACAGAAATTATACACACCCACACACAATACTGTATTTTTCCCCCGCTATACAATTTAGGATTTGTGACTGCACTTTTAAAATAATAGAAATACAAGTGTAATTAGTGTTTTTCAGTCTATTGGGCATTATAAATTACAATCAAAGGATTGTCTTTTTTTAATTATATTTTAATTTGAATATTTTTTTAAAAAAATTCCATACATTTTTAAATGCCCATAATGTTTGTTTGATACAAGCTGTTTCCAAAATTCTTATTTCTTGTATAAATGATGAAATTCCACTATTCCTTGTAAAATAATGATTCACTACTTTGGCTTGGCATACAATTGATTTTATCAGAGATTTTTTTTCAAGTAAAGATCTTATTCTACGATCTGTTCATTGAAATATCCAGGGCTTTTTTTCTCATAGAACGCCCAGAACGGAGTTCCGGCACCTTTTTTGGATGGATCCTTGTAGGGTAGGCAAGGTGGGCTGTATGATGTATGCGAGTTCCAGCACCTTTTTTTTTTTATAGAAAAAAAGCACTGGAAATATCTATTTCCATTGTTCAGTAATAACCTAATTGGTGATATATATAATAACTGAGTTATTTTCTAATTTCTTATCCTGGCCATGAAATATGTGTAGCAAACCTAGCTTTGGCAAAAACTGAATCTATTGATTAATTGTGTAAGACATGTATAAGATAAATAACACAAGGTGAAGGAATATTCCTTTTGACTGATAACCTTGCTAGCATCTCAATGAAAATTGAAAATATATATGTGAGATTGAAGTCTGATGCTATCAATGTGAAATTTAGGAAATATTTCCTATATAGATTCTGATAAAAATTGTCCATGCTGTCATACAGATTCCCAAATAATACCATCAAATTGTTCCTCTGAGTCCCAGACTTCTTTTAGCCCTCACCATAATATATTTCAGAAAAATCAGATTCAAGATTACATCTTTAGGTTCTGTGCGGGGAAAATGCATTTTTTCAAAAAGAGATAGATACCTGGATTTCGTGTGTGTGTGTGAGAGAGAAAGAGAGAGAGATTCAGTTGATCTGCCACTCAGGAAACTGGGACTTTTTGTTCCAAATGTTGATCATAATTTTTAAATTTATAATATATAGTGGAAGTTTTTGTAGAAACCTTTTTATTTTGTAAAGACCTTTTCTTGTTCAAGATTTCAGTTGTATGTAGTCCTAGTTATATATAGTCCTTTGTTATAATTTGGGTATTTTATCAATAGAAGTGGAAGTGAGATGCCTAGAATAAAATTTGAAAACCTCATCCTAGAAATTCAGCAGTTTACATAATTTTGTTGGCGATTTCCATTTTTTAAATTTTGGAAAGGTGTTACTCAGATTTTGTAAATAGTAAGTTTAGGTGCTATCTTGTATTGAGAAAGCAGTACTTCAAAAGTATACCACATTAGATTTTGGAATTGTGTGTGTGTGTGTCTAAAAATCTTACAAATTCAGTATTGATATTAACTATGTTAGCAATTAGTTGACCTTTAGAGTCTTGGATTGAATCTCCCATTCTAAATATGAACTTTCTATTGTTACCTTTCCAAAATCTTTGCACTTTAAAATTTAAATCAGATTTAAATAAACTTATTAGTGCCTAGAGTAAAATATTGTTTATTAAATGTTTGGGTTTTTTATATTGTATATGCTCTAAGTTTCTTGTAACTTAACAAAAGATATTGCATAACTACAGTAAATATTCTATTTTTTTATTGTATCCCCAAATCTTGTCTTTCCATGAAATAAATTTACAGGTATCAATCATAAAATAACATTGTTGCTGCTTTGGATACTTTGCGCCTTATAAAATAATCTGAATTTATTCTGAGTTCCTAAGAATAAAATATTTGTTGCTTGTGCCAGTGACAATCTTGAAGACTGAAACTCCAAGCTCTTGTCATGTCCATCCCCCTTCACACACATCTTCCACTTTAACAATCCCCAAGTTCTTAATACCCTTGTTCCCCTACATAAGAGCTCCTCCTCCCTTTCAATCTTAGACTAGGGCAGGGGTAGGCAACCTTGGCTCTTTTATGACTCGTGGACTTCAACTCCCAGAATTCCTCAGGAGNTGGACTAGGGATTGTAGGACCACACTCGGCCCCTTCGTGCTCTAAGTGGGGAAGGGTTTTGCTGCTTCCTCATCTTCATGGTTTTTGCAACTGTATCTGAAGATTAATTCCTGTTGCCAGTGTCAGAAGGAGCATTCTTTAGGGTTTGTTCATGTCCTACCATAGTAGGACTTACCTCTTCTTGGGTTTCCAAATTACAAGTTTGAATAGAAATCTCAATTTTTAACAAATCCCCATTAAACTGTTACTAATACTTTCAGAGATGTGCACTAAATCTTCTTTTACTAAAATAAAGGACTTTTCCATTTCAGCTTCGGGTCATGTTTACATCTTTTAAAAGTTTGGTAGAGTTAGACTCTTCTTTGGGATGATATCAGTTACACAAGGAGGCCCTGTGTTTACTGGTTTCACCCTTACTGGGGAATCTTCTATGGAGGGTAACCAGATGTTATTAGCAATAGGCCATACTTTTAGTCTCATGTTCCTCTTTTCCACTACGGGAGGGCTGCCAATTATGTATGCTTTGATCCCTTTCGTTTGTTGTAAAGCACCTTCCTAGATGGTTTATGTTTCTTAAATGCTTTAGAACGGATTTCAGTAGTTAATAATAGTTTCTGATGCTGCTGCTGAATAGGGCAAGTTGAGAGAGGAGCAAGGCATTCAGCCATCTTCAATTGAGGCATTAAAGCAGTGGTTCTCAACCTTTTTAATGCCGCAACCCCAACCGGTCGTAAGTCGAGGACTAAACCGGTCGTAAGTCGAGGACTAAACCGGTCGTAAGTCGAGGACTACCCAACTGGTCGTAAGTCGAGGACTTTCCCTGCCCGGGAGCGCCGCACATGCGTGGTTCCGCCCCCTGTGCCGGCCGAGGCGTAGCTGGCAAGCGGCAGAGACGGAGCAGGCTGACCACCAGCTGGCCCAGCCCAAGGGAGGTAAGGCACCCGCCGGAAAAGGGGGAAAAAATGGCGGACAGCCTTGCTTGGCGACCCCCATGAAATGGT